TCTTTCAATCTCAGTAGAATATTCCCATTTCCAAAAAAAAGACTCCTCGCCGATTTACCCACCCCCTCTTCTTTATTTCACCATTCTTCCCAACCTTTCACAGTTCACCATGTATGTGATCCAGACACGAGCTTTTAAAGGTACCTACGAAAGGTGCAACTTCCTTTATTTTCTTCCATTTTTCCTTTTATTTTCCTATTTCCCTGCACATAGTGGCCAGCATTTAAACATTTTAAACCCACGCAAGCCAGACGCATAAGTATCTGCAAAGCCTTGCACGATTGAATTCCAAAGACTCTCAAGACAGAACAATGCTGAATTGAAATCCCCTGCAAGACAACAGATCATTGTGGATCTTTCACACATCTAAACAGCAGGAAATCACCGAGACAGCTTAGAAGGCCAACAGCCCCAGGGAAAATCAATAAAACTGTTGCTACGCCAGGGAGATTATCTCTTCCCATCCAAACACAATTTGGTTGACTCTGATTTTATGGTGCTTCGGTGTGGTAATGGTCAATATATCGGGAGGGGGTATAAAAAGGCCAGAGGGGAAGCGATTGGTTGCTGTAAAGAAGCGACAAAGCGTTATGACGGGGATTACGGAATAGCGCTGATAAATCGGTACAACTGATGAGATCAATCTTGCTTTATTGAGCTCGCTTCTCCCCCCCCTCCCCCATCCACCAGCCCTTCGCTTTATCAGCCTCTCTCTCTCTTTCTTTCTCTCTCTCTCTCTCTCTCTCTCTCTCTCTCTCTCTCTCTCTTTCTCTTTCCCTTTTCTCTATCTCCGTTTCTTCTTATCCTTCACCCGCTATCAACCCTCCCTATTCCGTACAAAAACCCATCAAACGAAACCACCCGGGAGATAAAAGAAGATCGTATGGCGAGTGATAACGTAAAAATATTATTTTCAGACGCTCCCTTGCACCCCGCGATGAAAGTTGATATTATTTAAAAGCTTCATTATTACTAGTAATATTATGTGTGTGTATGTGTGTTTGTGTGTGTGTGTGTGTGTGTGTGTGTGTATGTGTGTGTCTGAGAGAGAGAGAGAGAGAGAGAGAGAGAGAGAGAGAGAGAAGGGGGAGGGGGGCTCCATGAATTACGGTTTTATTTTACTAAAATGGTTTCTTTGCTTGCTACTTTCGTACTGTTTTTTTTAGGTGGGCGGATGAGGGGGTGGGGTGGGGGTGGGGTGGGGTGAACAACTGGTCAGTGAGACCCACTAATAGACAAAACAGCAAATAGACAGAAAGGCCGATATTATGCGGCCGACAAAATGTGGAGAGCCAGAGAAATGGGCATAAACAGACGATTTGGGCCGTGTGTGGAAACAGAGAAGTCCCATAGGGATGATAAATGGAGCACACGCCAATGTGCGAGAAAGACAGACGCAAATACCCCCATGGGCATCCACTGGAACAACTAGAAAGGAGCACACCCGGGCACACTTGAAGAAAACAAAGAAGAAATACGACATATTATTATATACGTGTCGTGGGCTCTTTTGAATGTTTGCTCTTGAGGAAATGAAGTTAAAAACCAAACTCATGAAGACATCGACTAACTATACACTGTGTTCAAGTGTTAGTGAATATGAAATGGAAATAATAAAGAGCGTGCCAGCTGTCGATAATGTATTCCTAGAGTACAGAGGTAAACATGATTTACTTACTTATGCACAAATACACCGAGGTACACACATACACACACACACACACACACACGCAGACTCACACACCAACACACTTGCACACACATTCACACATACACATGCACACACAAACACGCACACAGACATACGTACACATATACGTACACATGAATGTGAACATGTGGATGCGAACACTCACATATTTACGAACACACCCCCACGTACATACGGACGGACAGACAGACAGACAGAAAGATAGACACACACACTCAAAACGACAAAAATGTCAGAACATTGTAATTCTGAGGTAGCGATTGGTAGAATTGTACATGCTTCACAAAAGAAAGTGGTTAAGATCACTATGATAGAATCATTGCTAGGGAACGCGGCATTGGTGAAACTTCTACTTCTAAAGTGACCACAGCAACTGTATTCCTTTTTGTTAGAGTCATATTATAAAACCAAGTAGATTGGGCTCTTTTTTATTTGGTCACAAAGACAGACATGGAAAATTGACTGACAATACCCTTCTGGACAATCGTTTTGTCTTTGAAATGGCAAAAACTAGGTGTAGTTTGCTGGTAGGGAAACCACTAAATAAAATAATAGGCGATGTCAGTGAGGATAGCGTCTAGATGAATAGCCACTGCAGAGTGTTTTGGAGCCAAACACAAAAACTGTTTAGTCAAAATAAGCCCGGAAACGTGGAGACTAGCACTTGTGGTGCTAATGTTTGGAACTGAAAATGATCTTGCGGATGATTTTCGCGTAATTCAGGTTAGGACATATATTATAAGGCATTGATGAAAGCGCTCGTACAGAAAGAGCACCATGAAAGCTTGTGACATATTCTAAACATGACTTTAATATAAACAGGCCTTGAACTAGTCGATATTTGAGGCTATATACAAGTCTTGCCTCAGCGAGATTTGAGGTAAAAAAACAAACAGACATTGACCTTGCAAACTTTGAATTCATAGACAGACCTTGACCTAGCGAGCTTTGAGGTTATAGACAGGCCTTGACCTAACAAGCTTTGAGTTGATAAACAGGCCTTGACTTAGCCGAAACTTGAGATTAAAGAATGTCCATTATCGCGTGAGATTTGAGGTTACAAACTGGGTTGACTTTATTGCTTACTACCAGAGCTTTGCAGGGCCCAAAAAAATCAGAAACGTAGATCTGCTCCTCTCCCAGCAATACGCCGGTACGAAAAATCCAGTTCGAATCAACAGCACTTGCGTCTTTGATGTAGCGGTTGGGCACTTAAGTTTCACGCAAAGGACGCGAGTTCGATTTCATTGTGGGGAGGGTATCTTATCGAGCACCTGTCTGTCTGTTCAGGTTGGCCCTCACAGACAGGGAAGAAATAGTCAGGCTCCTTAGTGATCAAAAGAGTGTCGATGGGGGCATAAATCGTCTACAATGACGTATCGATAGCGTAAACGCCTGTTTGTTGGTAACTGTCGTAGTCTTGAAACAACCCCCCCCCCTGCCCGGTCCCCCTACTCCCACCATTATGATTGTCCTCTTCAGAAGTGAGTTTTAGACACTATAACAGAAAAGCTTAGCAAAAAGTGAAAAACGCCCTTAAACTAATGATACACAGCTCTCGTAGTTCGACCCCAAGTTTTTTAGCAACGACCCCCCCCCCTTTCCACTGAAATCACGCCTGTGTTTTGCCATTCATCTGATAGCCATTGATATGTTGCATTAGACAGAGACATAAACTGCTTCCGTCGAGTAAATACTTGCCTGTGTCAAAATGGGATTCTGTGATTTTGTTTCGTTTGCAAAACACTACCGAGTGATTTATCATGGTCCATCTACCAACGAATTTCCCCCATTATCAATTTGATATCGACCGTCCCACTTTGCAGCTCTCCGTAGTTATCGTAACACTTGAGTCCGAACCTAATACTTTCGGTTAAGCTACGGATGTGATTTCTTCCGCGGAGTGCCTAATTTCATCCGTTGTCTGACCCTTACGTAATTACTTAGTTACTTCCGACGAGTAGTGATTACTTCTGACGCACTCACACTTTTATTTCTAAAAAAGTTTTAAAAAGAAATCAAAGAGGCTAAATAAAGTAATTGGTAATTGTTGATTACGTAAAAAGGAACTGATACTTTTCCTCAGTCAGAGATAGTACTTGGCAAGATAGTTCACTCCTCTCTTTGAGCCAATTAAAAAGTGTCCTCAAAATCCGGTGGCGCCCTCTTCGAAAAAGCGCTCCCTTTGCGAACAGAGTTACCCTACTTGGGTGAAAAAAATCAAAGTGAAACTAACAAATTTGAGAATAAATTACAATTCAAATTTCGGAAGAACACTGGTTACGCGGTTTTCTTCGTTTAATTTGACTTTAGAATGAGAGGCGAGAGGTCATTGAAATAAAAATAAAAACTCACCTAAAACTCCGAACTGAACGAACCAGAACAGCTGATGAACAGCATCGACCTGCGCACGCAAGGGGGGTGCTATTCCTATTCTTCTTCAGGAGAAACGAAAGAGAGCTTCAAGACAAAGACTGCATCGCCATCTGAAGCAATGAGCGGACTTCCACGGGCACCTTTTTGGCTGAGTGAACCATCTTGTTATGTACTATCTTTGCTTCAGTAGCAATAATCGCGGGAATCGGTTCCAGAATTGATTCCCCCCCCCCTCCCCAGCCCTACTCTCAATTTCCTGTTCTGATTACTCGCTTAAGAACATCATATCTTATGAAATAAGCCTGCATTGCTTCATAATACTTTGTGAGAAGATATTTATTTTCGTGTGACCCACGAACACCGATTCTCTAAGCCATCTGCAGTAGTCGCCTGTACAGATATTAGAAGCAAACATTGCTGTGTTGCTAAGTTAACCGGGCGCTGGGCACAAAAGAATACAATGGCAGAAAATTGACATTTTTCAGGACGCCACTTTTCAAAGCTCAAAGAACTCTACATGTATTAGCAAAGATATGAAAAATCTCCTTATTCACATTTAAAGGTTAGTTCATTGTGTATTTTCATCAAAACAAGATGATGTTTGACTGTAAGTTAATAGACAAGATAAGATAAGATAAGATACATCTTAAGGGTCCATATTCTAGCACATTGATTTGGCGTTTCAC